CTCCCCGCCCCTCTCCACCCACACCCCACCCAGTGCCACCGTTTCTCCCCGCGATAACCCCGGGCGTAGCTGCGATAACCGCTGTGACGTCACGCCGTCTCGAAGGCACGGAGACCGCGATTGCGACCCCCCCCCCTTCCCCCTCCAGCGGCAGAAGGAATCTCGGGGAGTCTTCTGCGTACAATCGGCATGCGCCGATTTCGCGTTCTACATTTGGAATGCCTGTTTTATGCTGATAACGCAATCATTCTACAAGAAACTGAAGAAAAGCTACAAAGAGCATTATACAAGCTACATAAACTTGGAGAACAAGAATATAACCGTAGAATCTCCAAAAGCAAAACTGAAGTCAAGGCCCCCTACCGAAAACATCTCATTCGCTCGAAAATAGTTATCAAATGACACTCCCCTAGCACGAGTTTATCACTTTAACTATTTTCGATGTGAAGTTACGGCGCAGATTGAGAAATTGAATATAAAATCAATATATTCCAATCAATATACAGGATAATAAATAGAACCCTCCAAAACAAAACACGAAAAGATAAAAAATCAAATTTTACAAGACAATGGCTATCCCTATTCTTTTGTGTGACAGTGAATCTTGGATAATTAAAGAGAAAAACTAAAGCAAAATCCAAGTAGCTGAGATTCCTGAGGAAAGTTAACGTCTGCATGAAATATGATCTCATAAGAAATGAAGATCCTTGGAGACTACACATACAAAGTATGGACGCTAATAGAATACCCATTTGGCAATGCTCCATCGACACACTTGCAAAAGAGATGTCAGATGATCATAGAAAAGGTGGCAATAATAATGATAACAATGATAATAATAATGATGATGTTGATGATGAAAAAGAAGAATAATTTGAAGATGGAACAGGCAAGTGGGCCTACTCCTTGAAGTGAATAAGAATAAGAAGACAAAATTTGGAGTGCAGTATAGCTGTGAAGCCTACCAGAATGAAATATTGAGTCTAAGCCAGAAAATTACGGTGCATTCTTAGCAGACAACTATTGGGAGTACTAAAACTCAAAATGATTTAAACTTTTACTTTTATCCAAGGCAAGAAGATACAAATACTTCAAAAATGTTTTTAAAAATAGTAAATAATTCTAAAAAGGCATCTACTTCCTACTTAATCAAAATGTTACATTTTTCATAATTTGTAGCCATAAACACAACTTTCATAAATATCCGATTCAATAACACCAGCACATTCCTGTACAACCAATGTCTGGAAATAATGTACAATAAAAAAATTTGAATTACAAATAAAATGAAATTTCAGTACCAAATACTGTTCCACTGATGATAAAAGACATTCCTTATTAAAAGTTAAATTAATTAAAAGATCAAAATTAGACTCATTAATAGTTAAATACAAATGCTCCAAAACAAGAAATATAAAAAAATACAATAAAGATACAATTGAAATGTAAATGTATACAAATACAATGAAGTTTTATCTCACACAAAAACAAAAATTAATTATTTATATGAAAAACACGCA